GCAGGCGGCGAGAGTTCGGGCCCCGGTGGGGGGTCTGGCCAGAAGACCCGCCATCCGTCGGCCTGCCGCGCGCGCGCACTGTCCCTCCTTGCACGTCCTCCCCGCCCCCGAGACGCTGGGTTCCGGGCCCTGAATAGGGGCGGGGATGTGCCCAAGGTCACAGGGCCTAGAACTGGAGCCTCAGGCCGCCAGGTCTTGGGCCCCCTGTTGAACAGCTTTATTTCTGGACGCGCGTCCACCCATATGTCCGTGCGTGCGAGCATTCATTCAGCTAATAGTCGAGCACCTTACAAGTGAGCCCCTTCCCCCCCAAACTTCTGAGCATCAGAACACATTTCTGATGCTAAGATTCCATGCAGCCCTCCCTAGCTTAAAAGTGTTTCCCATCGGCCGGCTGTAAAATCAAATCCACGCTCTCTGCCCTTCAGGGTTCCGCTTGAACTTCCCCTCACCCCCTTTCAGACCTCCCCTTCAAGCACCTCCTCTCACAGCTCCTCTGGCCACCCTCTGTCCTTTCTCATCTCAGTGCGTTGGAGTTTTTTGTCCCCAACTCTGGCCCCCTCAGGCTGCTCATCCTCCCCAAGAATTTGAAAGTCTTCAGTGACTGCTTAATCTAGAGCACCCCCCTCCCCAGGAGATCCTGTCCACCTCATTGCCCTGCCGTGGTTCCGTCACAGTGTTTGCCACCACAAGTCTCTTGCTTCTTTCTGTGTTTGGTGCTTCTGTCCCTACCTTGTCTATCTCATTCACTGCTCTATCCCTCAGCTCTTGGCATGGTGCCTGGAGGAAGGGAGGCACTTAAATCTTATTTGTGAACAAATACTTGAAAAACACAATGACCAAGCCCTTATGGAGGTTACAAGCCAGTGAGAGGTATTGAAAAATCATGCCTTGAAAGTACCTACACTATTAAACTTCTAGAAGAAGCACGTAGCAGAGGGCCCCTAAACACCTCCAAGCCCTTCCTGATTTACAATCTAAGTCTTGGGCCCTCTCCCTCCATCTTCTCAAAGTTGGACCCTGGCTCTTACTGGAGGGCATGACTTGTGTCATCCCCAGAGGTCCCTGCTAGCAGATTGTTGACCTTCTAGGGGGTTTTAAGGTCAAGGCTGCTGAGATGACTTGCTCAGGCTGGCTTAGGCAGGCATGGAACCCAGGCTCCTGAATTCCCAGCCCTGTGCCTCTAGGTAATAACAATAACACTGCAAACATTTTCAAAATGGCAGCTTTGAGCTAAATCCTTCAAAGTGAAATAATGCAGATGAGTGGCTGATTACGGTGCCTGGCACATAGTAAATGCTGAGTAAATGACAGTTATTATAACAATGATAGACAAAACAGCTTTCCTTAGCGGTTGTAGCAATTTATACTCCCACCAGAATGAGATTTCCTGATGTTCCCTAACCTAACTGATATGTTCAGCAGTGGTAAAATGGCTAAGTAAATTTTGGGTATATTCATTCTATGGAATACTACGCAGCAATAAAAAGGACAAACCACTGAAACATGCAGCAACATGGGTGACTCTCACGGAGATAGTGGGAAGCACAAGGAGCCATACAAAACAGTATTCCTGTGTGATGCCATTTATTTGAAGTTTAAGAGAAGACAAAAACTATGGTGACAACATCAGACCCTCTGGGGTAGGGGCTCCAGGCACTACCATAACACGTGTTTTATATATTGAACAGAGTGATCGTTACATGGTGTGTACATACATAAAAATTCATCAGGCTACACATGAATGATTTGTGTACTTTACTGAGCATATGTTATAGTTAAATAAAAATAAAAGTTATTTTTTCACAAACAATTTAAAACAAAGTAAAGCAACGACTTTAATCCCTGCCCACTCAGGAGCTTCCAGTCTGGAAGGGAGGCAGTCACATAGATTGGCAGTTGCAGGACAGAGTGATAAGGACTAGGATGGGAAAATTCTGGGGGCTGTGACTTAACGTGGAGTTGAGGGCAAGGACATCCAGTCTACTCTTGGACACTAAGAAGGCTGCTTGGAGGAAGCAGTGTGTAGGGTGGAAGGATGAAGGAGTTTGGCAGAGGCTATAGACGAGATATGGCCAAAGCAGTAGAAACAGCCTTCGCAAAGGCGTGGAGTCTTCAGAAGTCACTGATGGCCACTTGTCTGGAGCAGTTCCCCTTTGGCTGTTTGAGTTCATTTCATTCTGTGTTTAAGCATTGGCTCAGCCTTGAGGGAGACTACGGATTGCACTATAGGTGGTAAAACAGCTGCTATGTAGGGAGGGCAGCACCTTCCCTCCGCCATGAGACTTTGTGAAATGTTCCTTAACCTCTTGGTGCCTCAACTGCCTCATCTGTAAAATGGGTATGATTTTAATTATCTCAACCTCCAGGGTTGCTATGAGGAATAAATGTATTAATAATACCAATAATACATTTTGTAGTAGTATCTAGCACATAGTAAATGTTTCATATGTATCAACAATTATTATTCATTAAGAAATTTGGGGGCATTGGCATAGCTTCATATGTGGTTCAGGTCCTGATGATGGTAGAGGGTGAGGACAGGAGCCAGGACATAAGGATTAAGAAGAACGAAGCCCATGGGGGTTGCAAGGGGAGAATTCTTCCCAGGTAGGATTCCTTAACCAGGGGCCCCCAGACAGCCTTCAGGGGCTCAGGAAACTGCCTGCTGACAGTGTTGGCCCATCATGTGCACTTTCCTGGGCACATAACAGCTCCTTAAAGGCATCTCACAAAAGTTAAAAAGTGCTAGAGAGTTGATCAGGGAAGGCGTGGGCTGTGACTGGGAATGGAGCTGGCCCAGGCTTTGCTATCAGGCAGAGCTGGACAACTGTGGCTGCCTGGCTGAGCCAAAGGAGGGGGGTCTTGTGAGGCTACCCACAGGAAAACCAGAGGGAGAGGGGTCAGACCAGCTGCACCAGTGTGGGCTGTGGGGTGGGGGCCAGGCAGGATGAGCAGGACCCAGCGCCAGGGAGCTGAGTGTGGGAAGGCCTCGGAGGCTTGGCTCCTGTCCTCCCTCAGCCCTGGAGATCTGTCTGCACAGGCCTGCCAGGTCAGCCGGAGTCCAGGGCCCATCCACGCTCCCTAAGACTTGGTTACTGTTCAGATCAAGCTCACACTGCCCTGGATTCCGAGGGGGGCATTGAGAAACCAGTGGGTGGCCCAGTCCTGGCCTAACCCTCTCTTACACTGGAAGGCAAGCCTGGTCAACACTTTAGATAGAAGGCTGTGGTCAATTAGAAAACTCCAGTGAAAGCTAAAATTTACCTTTAACGGTAGTATATGATAGAGCAGTGATGGCAGCTGACATTTATAGGTTGTGTACTAAGCTCAGGGTTGCCAGGAACAGAGACGAATCTGAAGCCGCTTCAAGGAGTGGGCGTGTGCCACCAGGTTTGGGGGGAGGGGCAGTCGTGCAGAAACCAGCGACCCCCTCAGCATGAGCTAAGACACAAGAGTGCTTTGTTCTGTGCCTGACCACCGTATCCCCAGCTTTCAGTGAAATCGCCTCATCTTGGGTTTTCTGAAGGCAGGCACAGCTGCAAGACATAGAGCAGGGGCTTGGAGAGAGGAAGCACTGGAATCTCTCTCCTGATCAGGGACTCACACTTTCCTTGAAGCACCACACTCTTGAACTTGATGGGGGAGGGGACTTGGCCAATCAGAGCACCACATTCCTGACCATGTGATTGGTTCAGGGGTAGGCACATGACCCAAGCTGGGCCAATGAGAACCCTCTGGAGTTGCTAAGCTGATGGGAAGAAGTTTG